GACAACTTAGACTTATTGTGTGGAAGTGGCCCATCCGACGGGGTTCGGGCAGTGACTTCCGACAAGGGGCTGAGCATCAACCAATGACACGATTCGGAGATCTTCAAGCTCTTCGAGGTCGTTGATAGTAAACTGAATACGTACTCTTGATCCTTGCAATCGGCGTCGAGCTAACTGATTTCCTCCAGCACTCGCAATTGAAGAGAGTTACTCGACCGGACTTTTTTGTATCGCATTCAGAAGTATCTTCTTTTGCAGTGCGCGGAATTTTGTAGAATCCGGGATGCGGTAGCAAGAGAACGAGCACCGCAGAAGCATCAAACTTCATCTTCCTCAATTTTGTCACTCGTTCCCGGACTCCAGTTGGTATGTTCATCCACACTTTCTGATTTTCTGGAGATTGACTGTCAGACTAGGGAGTGCTTTGAAATTTAAGCGAGGCGGAGAGTGTGTCAATCCCGTTGAGTTATCAGCACAAGGCTGACAATTGCAACATCGCCCATTATTCACAGAAGTAATATGATCAATACGGTAATCATGGATTTGATGGCCTCTGAGATTGGTGGCGCAATCCCGATGCAGTGTCGCCGTCGGTGTGAGCTCGCACGGAGTTTCAAGCAGTTAGATCCGCTCAAGTCTTGGTGGGCAGGTACCTAGCTGGGTAGATTACCGGCTGGGCTTATGCTGGGTTTGACAGTCACCATCAGGCTAAGCGGAGACACCTCCGTTAGACGACCTTGATTTGCGGTGCAGTGTAGTAGGGGATGACATCACTGCTGTTCCTGGCCGACCATGCATGGTGCCACATCACTTTCTCCGAGACTCTCACTATCAGTATCACCGCGCGGGCTGATGGACACTGTCAGAACCGGTCGGGGTCGGGTTCCTCGAAGCATCCCTAGGCCCGGCTCGCGGGCCAAGAATAAGTGCTCCCAGAATTGAGCGGACGTAGTAGTCAGCTCAAGCGATCGCCTTGGTCAACTCGAATTACATCCCGACACGTGGATTTGACATCGATGCGAAGAACTCCCTGGTGTCTTAATATAGCTCAGATCCACACCCAAGGAACACCAGCCACATTCCAACTGGTTTGCCCCACATCCTCCACATTCCAGCTGGGAAACTCTGTTGCCGCACAAACTACGGTATCTGGAAATACAGTGACACACTCCATGCAGAACTGCGCCATTCCGACTGCACGCTACATACAGTGTCCGAAAGTCCGGCGACGCCCGAGGTGGCTGGTGGCCTCCGTCGCTACAATCCTCGGCTAATTGGCGATGCCACGGCATCTGCGCGCCATGCCAGTCGCAACTTTTCCCGACTCGATAACTTCGCGTTGAGACAAGCCCATCACATCGATTGCGCTCGCTTCACTCTGACGGCCCCTGTAGCACTGTGGCCGGGGCCATCAAGCATAAGATTGCGAAGCATCGCTCCAGAAGGACACTGACATTGACTGACCAGAACACACTCCTGCGCTCGTTCTTGGGATCCTCTTATCGTAATAATCCCCGAGGCACTCAGCGATCAGGGCAGCTCGTTCACAAATTCGGGTCTTTTCTTGAAGCGACAATCCCCACTGCAGCCCGGGAGCAAGTCGAAGGAATTCTGAAAGATGGAATTTGATGGCTGCCGCGGTGCTCGTTCTCTTGCTACTGCGGGACGTCCTAGATTCCATAATATTCTATACACTAAAAGAGCAGATACTTCTGAATAGGACCTACCAAGTCCGGCCGAATGATTGTACCATTGAGAGTGCTGCAGTGGATGAACCACTTTGATGCCGATAACTAACTCGTTGCAATCAGTAGTAGTACATCATCATCATACGCGTAGGGGGTAAACAAATCTAACAGACAGAGAACAAGATGACTACTCGCCCTCTGCGAATAGCCTCAAATCCGACAGACACCGCGACACTTCGTCCTTGAATATCGCAATCTCGTGCGTGTTCTTGAGAATCGCGCGGACCGTTTCGTCTTTGAGCCGGGCGACTTTCTCAACCTGTTCGCGGTAACTGTGGGAACTCAGAAGGTGCCTCTGCTTTCTAGAAAACACTCACTTGAACTGGAGCGTCTGGAGACGGGATCGCACAATGGTCCCCTTGCCGAGCGCAGCTGTGCGCGCGTTCGCTAGTTCCTTTTCCAACCGATTGGCCTCGGCATTAGCAACAACCGCTTCCTGTTGAGCAACCTCGCGAAGATCGTCGGCCTGGTCGTTGAGCGCAACAACTTTCTTCTCAACCTCCACAATCTCCTCCTCGATGTTCTCGCATTCCAGCGTAACCTGGTCCAGCTCGTTGTCCAACTTGATCCGCTCGCTTTCCACGTTGGCTCGAGCGGACCGCTTTGCCTCGGCGACGGCGCTCAGTGCGGGCTTAATCACCCGTCGGATATCCGCTCCGGAAAGGAGATTGTGTGGATTAGACGATGCAGTGTTGAGATCGAGGGTCAAGTCGACGTCCTCTAGTGGGGGTGCCAGCGGCGGGAAGAGTTCCAGCTGCGTCAGGAGATTGGTGTATGAATCAATGGCCTCCTCGGCGGCAGCAGCGCGGTTGGTCACATTGACCTCCAGCGTCATGACGTGCCGATTCGTCTCTGCAATCTTCTGCTCCAGATCCCTCAGGTTCTGGGTCAATGTCTCATGATCAGTGTTCATCTTGATCACTTCCTCCGGAGTCAGGTTTTGTGTTTTCACAATTTCCGCCAGTCGACTTTGCTCTGATTTCAATTGCTCGAGCTGGTTACCTGGGTGCAAGTTATGTCAATTCATGACGGTCGTTCTTTGCATACCTTTTGTAATCAACTCTGCTTTCTCGAACGTAATTTGATCCATGAGCTTCTTCTTCCTCGATTCGTACTGCTTCAAGATCTTCAAGAACTTTTCACAGTCCTGTTTCAGAGTCGCGTTCTCGTTCTGGAGTTTCGCTAGCGGATCCTGACCCAAAATGAGGATGTGCAACGACGAGACACTGACATCTACGCACAGCGGCCGCCTTGAGTTTCTCCAACTCCCGAACACCTTGCTCGAGCTGCGCCGTGGTTTCTTCCAGTTCGAGTTGTGCCTGTCCGTTTTTACGAGCTACAGCCCAATGAGTGAGATCGGGGAAGGGAAACACAAACACCAACCGTATCGATCCTCCAGACTCTGTTTTGGTTCGACGAAGTCGTCGACCATGTTCATCCACAGAGCATAGGCTTGTTCGTAATATTCGAATGCCAATGCCTGGTGATCCATGGGATCCTCAAACTCGTCAGGAATGTTCTCAGCGATCTGCAGCGTTGGGTCGCCGCTTCCCTCGTAAGTTTGAATGGCCTGCGAGAACGTCAAAAACTCCGAAGCGAACAGCAAGGCGTCCAGCATACTTTGCAGCATTCAACCAGCCAGTGCATCACACCAAGAAAAGCTGGCCAGTAGTGCATGCTAGCAGGTGCCGCCAGAGACTTGACATCGATAGAGTTGACGAATGGGTATCGAAGCGCTCTCAGAGCTGGTATGAATTCATCCTCCATGCGTGAAGCAGGGTCGAAAGGGTGATACGGATCGAGCTGAAGAATGAGAAATTCGACTATCGCCCGATACTCCTTGCCCTGAATGTTGTTCAACGTGGCCGGTCCGATGTCGTAGTGAACGCTCCGCAGGTATTGACTGATGTCTTGCTTCATTGTGATCTGGAAGCTTTTCTCTCGTAGCGGCCTCGTATCCTTCATTGTCTGGCTACTAGGTGGCGGAGGCATGTTGGCTGCCCCGGGCCACATAGAACCCCGCCGCGTACTACTTTAGAACAGGTGAGATCAAGTCGTTGATTAGTAGACCCAAGCTCACTTATTGAGAGGTGTCCGCCCATAGTTAGTTTTTGATGCGGACTGTAGTAGCGGATTCATGTTCTGGGAGCGCATCATAGACTGCCGAGGATTCGATGAAGGGGGTGGTGGATTGAACGAAGGTCCTGCCACAGACATTCGCGATGGATTCGGTTTTCTCACAGTGGCCGGAACCGGGATGGCTGAGCGGGATGTAGCATTCATATCTGAAGATGGCTGGAGAGTCGAGCGTCGCCTGTCCATCATGGGTCGGAACGCGTCGTCAGTGGTTGGTTGAGAGAGGCGTGGTGATCCCGTGACTCACAGAGGATGTGACTGATGGCGATCGTGACTATGGCCCATCTTGACTCTTCTCTAGCCGGCTACAATATCATATGTCTTCAAGTACGCGACAACTATTTGGAGGGGCGATCGTGACGGAGGCACCGTCAGGGCTGGTCGATGCATCGTATTCGATTTTCTCGGCCTGTGTCTTCCCCTCATGTTTTCTTAGCGATCTACGGCAAATACCTGATAATCAAGAGGTGTTTCTTTATCCTGCCTCAGCAGTCAGCATCATCGTGGAGATATTAGAACGCGTGGAATCCTCTGAGGACGATGCAGCAATCAGGTCCGTGGTACCCATATCTTCAGTCATCATCTCAAACGGGCATTCCAGATTCCACTTTGATTCCCTCGCTCACGACAATTCGGCATCGTCGACAACAGTCAACTCAGTCTCATCCATTCCAAATGGACACGGGGATCAGACACCACAGGCGATCATCCTTACAGGCTCCCAGTCGGTGGCCAAATTCAACAAGCAGGAGCAAGATCATGTGCGCATCCTAATGGCATTGTTCCGTGTGGAACACAAACACGTAGACTTGGTGGTTACATTCAATGTTCCCTCAGAGCCTAGCGAATCCAACGGGGATGCCATGTGGAATGAAATGCAGCGCGATTTTGACGCGTTCGTGCGAGCCCTGCGCATAATTGATTTCGGACTGTTTGTTTAGCACTTACCAATAGGAAATCTTGTCTGGTTGGTTGAGGTTCTGCAGACCAGTCTCTTGAATTGCATGGTACGCAGCTCACAAACGGTGCCGAGCTCGTGTTCCGAAGGTGATATGGTGTTTTGCGCAGTAATTGGCTCGAACACTCCCAGACCGCTGAGATAGCCAACACTCCACGACGTGGGTCTGGTACAAGAGATCCCCAGAAAACGTTTTCAGAGAGTCATGCCATCGGGCTTGTATCACGCAGACTGAAGATGCTGGTCATCGACATCGACTATTCAAGACCTCAACAATGAGAATGCGTTTGAATTAGATACAACATGCTCTGTAGCACACATGAGACAAGAACTGGAGTAGCGGTGAGATATACACACGGGATATAGTCCGTAAGGTAAAGGGAATCTGCGACAGCTCTTGCACCAGCCGGCTTACCCTTCCACTTTCAGGGAGCGTTGAGGTTCTAGCAGACATATGAGCATGCCAAAGCCCCAAGACCGCGAATATTTAGGACGCACGAATGAGAGGATGGAGTTGGGCCAAGTATGTCACCATCCACAAGAGGAAGCAACAGGCCAATGTTAACATGATCGCAGTTCGGACTACCCTGTTTGTCGAATAACATCAGTCCCGCTACCGATGACTGAGGGCCACCACGAACACTTGTTGGGGACCCTTCGGCGTGAAGAGAGCAGCGGAGGTCATGAGCGCCACGACGATGGCAAATATAAAGAATATAGGGAGGACTGTGGCCATAGTCGTCACGGTTAGACGAGAGTGATGTTGTGCTGTATTTGCCATCACAGTCCGCGCGGTCAAGTGCGCCGCTTAATCACGCGTTTCTCCGAATGTTCGGTTTAACTTTCGCTGAACTATAACACATACGCTCACTCTAACACCCGTTCTCATCTACATCTCTGCAAACGCACAGCGTACCCTCCGCATCACCCCGGCGTTGTGACGAACGGCCAATTCCGACGGACTCCACTAACACGTGAGCCTAATAGCACCGCCGCGTTTGGAATTGGATCTCTGTCTTCTCCATCTTATACACTCACGACGTCACGACCTCTTCATGAAATAGCCCTCAACAAATCCCTACACAAACGACTAACGATTCTCGATGATACCGACTTTCCTGTTATTGTTCCTCCTATTCTCAACGGTGCACGGGTATACCCCAGCAGCCAGGTGCGTTGATCGAAAAAAGATGATGCATGGTGCATCTCGGAGCCAAGTTTCTCACTCTTCCATAGATGGGGACAAGCAGCCTCACTTGTTCTGAGCTCTCTTTTCATACAAGGCGGGAAACAAGATCCCTTCAACTCCCAAGGATACACCTCCGCTTCAGCGCAGAGCGATCTCCTCTTTCTCCCTCTTTCGGCAGACTTCTCAGTCGATTCTCCGCCCTGGATGCTGATCAGCGACCCCGCCAACTCGAGTCAGTCGCACGGACCTTCCGTCGCTTGGCACACACTCTCCGCCTTTGGTCAGAATCAACTGCTGCTCTTCGGTGGGCTGCCTACCCCCGTCGTCCCAATCGACACTCTCAATGACTCGGCTGTGCTTCTGGACGTGCTGAATCGCAGTGCACCGTCATTCACGAATGAGACGGTGGGCTGGGGCGCTGAACCCATGCGACGCATCCATCACGCCGCTGTCAGTAGTCCAAGCGGAGAGGTCTACATTTTCGGAGGCGAGAAGGGCGACGATTCCAGGATCGCGTTTCCGGACAACTATGTATTCGATCCGGCGACTTCGACCTTTTCTCCGCTCCCCACGGACTCGGCCCCGCCGGCGTTGACTGGGCATGCTGCGGTGATTCTGGCCAATGGCCAGGTGCTCGTTTTCGGGGGCTTGGGTCCCAATGGGCTTCTTCCGATGGACGTGTTCTACACCTTTGACACGCACACTAATAGCTGGTCGTCTCAAACGACAGGCACTGCGGCGGCAGTTCCCAGCGGAAGACGTGGTTTCGCTTACGTGCTGGACGGGGACAGCATCGTCATTCACGGTGGCTGTGATGCTGTCTATCAAACGACGTACAGTGATGGCTGGATCTTCAACATCACAACCCAGTCTTGGACTGGCGTGCCTGCGCTGGACTCGCTTGGTCCGCGACGTGATCATTTTGCAATCGCGTACAACAATCAGGTCATTTTCGGATTTGGTCAGTCATCTCTTGACCGTGATCACTGAAGGCTCTGAGCCCCTTCGCAGGCTATGCCCAAAATGGACCCGCCGATGCCGCACTGTCTGTGTTCGACTTTTCATCGCAGACCTTCCGGCCAAGCTACACTGCCCCTCCCCCTACAGCCACTGTCTCGGTCACGGTCCCGTTTGGGACATCCACTGTCACAGATGCCCCGACTGGAACCGGAACCAAGAGCAGTGGTGTGACAGGCAGCGTGACAAGCTCCGTCCACCCATCCTCGACGCTAACGACCGGAAATGGTGGCAACGGTGGCAATAGCGGCAACGGTGGGGGATCGAATGGCGGAGGCACCAACGGCGGCGGAACCGACGGACGGAAGCCAGATGGTCCCGGCAGTGGGTCAATCAAAAGCACGACCAGGATCGCTATTGGTGCCGTGCTCGGTGTGCTCGCGCTTGTTGTGGCAGCGGCTTGCACCGTCTGGTATCTTCGCCGAGAACGGACCAAGCGCTGGAACGAAGGGGGTGTTTTCTCACCTTTGAACGATGACGAGGCCGGTGCTCCTCCCCCAGCGTTGATGTTCGATTCCCATCGGGCTGGCGACGGCGTCATCGGGACAATGCAGTCCTGGGGTTTGCGAGTGGCAGACATGGTCGGAGCGGGCGGCGTTGTTGGCACGGGCGCGGTCGCTGCTCTGAAGGACAAACAACAGCGCCGAGACATGCTCGCTGATGAAGATACACGTGACTTCGGAGGCTTTGGCTGGTTCGATGAGCGAGACGAACGATCTAGCCGGCGACAGCGAGAAGCCAGCGGCGGAAGTAGCTGGAGTCTTGCGAACGTCTTCCGCCCTAAGGCTCGGCGAGAGAATAGCGCGGCCAGCACCATGACCTACGGGAGCCGTCTCTTGAGTCGCAACGCCTCGTTGATGCAAGGACCGTCGGAGAAAGACCCTTTCCGTGACCAACCATTGGAGGACGTCGCCACTCGTCCCTCTGTTCAACGGCAGATGAGCTACCACAGCACTTACTCGGACCCTTTTGAAGATGAACAAGGGACAGAAGCAATCCGGCTCGTTCCCAGAGGCATTCTCAGTCCTGTCACAGAACTGTCTTCGTCCGCTGCATCGGCATCCGTGTCAGGTTCTTCGAGCGACCAGCACGCCCCTCCTGACTCACTTTCACGATCGTTCTCGTCCACATCGCATTCGACGCCGCCTTTGTCTATTGGCAGCAGCGCGTCCAGACCTCGGACGTCAAGCATCTTGGATATGCTCCCCCCCAAACCCGACCAGCCGATGCGGCGGAGCGACACTTGGTGGGCTCGGTTCTCAAGCAAGAGCTTGCTTGATCGCCGAACGAGTCAGACATCGGCAGCGCCTGCGATGGATTTCCGCGACCCGAATCCATTACCTCAACGGCTTGGATTTGTGGAGGAGGAAACAGCCAGTGTGCTACGCGAGCGGTCCGATGGATCCAACACGAGTCAAGCAGGACCGGGGCCTTACCGCCGACCCGGGCAGCACGGCAAGTCGATGTCCTCGATCCAGACCCAGCAGACGGCCGATTCAGCTGCGCTGGAACGCATCGGCGGAATGAATATAGTGATGCGCGGCTCGAGGCAAAGCGGCAGCACAAGTACAAGAGGGGCAACCGACGCCGACAGCTGGACAGGCGGGGAGGATGAGGTCATCATGACTTCGCCCGTCGAAATGGTGCCTGCATCATCTTTCAACCTTCCACCTTCGCCGCCCGGCCCACAACCGCGTCCGCCGTTGTCCAACGCATCGTCTTCGGGATCATCGGGCACGTCCGTTGCCGACCGGGTCAAAGCCTACGAGCGGCGCATGTCACAAGACGTGCCACCAGCAACTCCGAAACGAACTGCACACGGAGTCAACTACGGATTTGCTGCGAGGCCCAGTCTTTTTGTGGCAAATCCAGACCAACAACAATCGTGAGGGGTTTCCTCTCTTTTCTGTGTATTTCCGGCTACACGATTGCAGATAAACGCGCCCACTGATATCCACGGACGTGCTCAAGTGCTGAATGCCGTCCTCTGATCTATTCGAATACTAACGACCTCTTGTTTGTTTGTTCTCGCTGTTGTTTACGATACTTACGGACACTGTACAAATATTACATATGTACCAAAGACTTGCTCATGTGTCAATAGCAAGTTCTGATTAGACAATTGTCGTCAAGAGCACAAATACATCAAAGCACGGAAACATCACGAAGAAATACACCCTTGAAAACATCTCAGACAGCCTGCGCCTCTTGGTCGACAAACTCCATCGCCTCTTCCCGCTTGATAGTGCGAATGGACGACACCTTCTGGTTGTTGAACAACACGCCGTAAAACTTGTCCGCAGTGACCAGCATCTCGGGTCGGAACGTCGTGGTGATGAACTGGGCATTCGCCGCAAGAGAATGGATCATAGCTGAGGATGAGAATCCTGTCAGCGGACAGATTCAGTTAAAGACAATTGCAGCTCACAGGCAACGGCCGTGCGGTATTGCGCATCGAGATTGGCGTCGATTTCGTCAAACAGATAGAAAGGCGCCGGGTCGCTCTTCTGGATCGCAAACACCGTCGCGAGCGCGACCAACGACTTCTGACCGCCTGACAATTGCTGGATGCGCAGACCTTCGTCGACCTTCGAGTTGAACGAGACCTGTGCTCCGCTCAACACATTGTCCGGGCCACCAAGAGAAGAAGACAAATGAAGTAGTAGCACGGACCTTGATGGAGATCCCGGTGTAGTTGTCGATAGAAGTCTGCTGGGTGTCGTCCATGTTCTCGTCCTCGTCCTGGTCGATGCGCCGTTGGATGATCAGTCGCCCGCGGCCAGCAGGCACCAATTTCTCGAACACCTCCTCGAAGTTACTCGCGACCTGCTTGAAAGTGCGCTCGATTGCTTCGTCCTTGCGCTGATCCAAAACTTCAACGAGCTCTTCGATAGAGGTCGCCGACTTGTCGAGATCTTCCCGGCGCGACAATAGTTGATCCCGCTGCTTCGTGAAGTTGTTGTATTGCTCGAAGGCCTTCTTGTTCACATGTGCAAACTTTTTCAGGCCCTCGTTGACCACATGCAGCTTCTTGACCAAGCGATCGAGCTTCTCCTTGGTGTATTTGTCAAAGGCCTCTTCTGGGAGAACTCCAAGATCCCGGATGTTGCGATTGCACTCGTCCTTGCGGCTTGTCAGCATCTGCCGCTTTGCAAGGTATCGCTCCGTAGTCTTTTGTTGTCGCGACATATTGCGGCTATCTTCTGCTTGCTGCCCTTGCACTTTCTCCAGCGCTGATCGAAGTCGCTGAAGCTCGGCCTGGAACTCGTCGATCTCCTGCTCCATCGCTTCCACTTTCGCACTGAGCGTTGTAATCGTTTTGCCCAATGAGCGCAACTCGCGCGAACGGCTCTCCAAGTCGTCTGCCGAAGACACATCCTCGCCCTCATTCAGCTCGACGAGCTTGTTTTTAAGTTCATCGCGCCGCCGGTAAAGCTTTTCGTTGAGCTCGATCTCGATTGCGCTCTTCCTGCCTTGCAACTACAAGTCATTAGTCTCGCTGCAGCACGGGTCATTCGAAGGACCACCGACTTTGTTCTTGCTCCTCCCGAGTTCAACCAATTCCTTTGTCCGACGTTCCGCCTC